GGTTTCACCTCATGAATGGGTATTCCGTATTCATTCCTCCACACTCAAAAGCATGGGATGTGTTGTAAATTGGGATGAATATACTCCCTTTGCACCCATCATATGTCATATGTATATATATAAAGTGGAGTGGATTAAATGTGGTTACGCCATGTGTCATGCCATGTAGGACTTTTTACCAAGTGTCACGCCATGTGTAGCCACATAAGCTTTCTTCTACCAAATATCATTCCATGTGTTTTTACATGTCATGTGTTGCCATATGTCCTGTCATGTAATAATATACTATATTTTTTATATTATGATATCTTTTATCTTGTAACTATATATATATATATAGATACATACACACACACACATATACATATATATATACATAAATACATATATATATATATATATACATATATATACATATATATATATATACATATATATATATACATATACATATATATATATATATATATATATATATATTTCACTTCATTTTTTTAAAATAAATTTTTTATGGAGTATGAAAATTCATTACAATTAAAGTTTAATTTATTTGTAAACAATCATTCCTGCATTTCCAATAAATTTAAAAAATTCATTATCGATAATGCCTAAACACATGCACCAATAACACAGATTACGTGTTAACCATTAAATAAGAATTAATTTTATCAAATTCTTTATAAAATCCTTCACTTTCTAACACAAAATAATCATTATATTATTAATATATACGAGCCCGTGCGAAGCACGGGGTTAACACTAGTTCTTTTTTACAATTGACTCTTTTGTCACATTTTACAAACTTTGACCGTAAACGGAAGATATATATATATATATATACACACACACACACACACACACACACACACACACACATATATATATATATAAACACACACACACTACGTACTTATAACATTCATTTTTAAAAATATTATTATGAATAGTTAAAGTGTGTAGTTTGCATTCAAAAAAAAAAAGTGTGTAGTCGTTTAATGGCCCGTTTGGTGTAGATCCCTTCCCAAATGTCCCTTTTTTACTCCAGAAACCATGTTTATATTACTTTTTTTTAATATTTAAAATATCACAATTATTCTTACTTTCTGTTTTTATTATATCTCATCTATCTCATTTAATATTATTCAACCACTTCCATTATAAGTAATTTGTTAAAGTTTTACCCATTCTAGCTTTTCTTAGACACTATGAAAAGTCAACTTGAAAAGATCTATACCAAAGGGTGGGCATATTTGACGGAAAAAAAAGTCAATTGCAAAGAATTTTTTTAGGTTGGAGGGAGTATTAGTTATTATCCTCTCTCCAGCTTTTAAGAAGGGAACCTAGAAGGCTTGAAGTAGAGGTACTTAAAAGTCTGCACAACCAAGAGTTTTGTAGTCGCTCTATATCTTTTTATCATTTCACTTTGGTCACGTAGTTTTGTACCTACAATATTTTTTTTCTACTCATTCGTAAAAAAGATCATGATGTAATGACATTAAGGTTGAAATCGCTATTAATTATTTCATATATAGGTTGTGTTTAGTTAGGGTAAAATATTTTCATTGAACTATTGAAAAATATTTTCCAATGGAAAAATGATTTCTAAGAAAAATTATTTTCCAATCATATCTTTCTTTATTTGGTAGGAAGAAAAATATTTTTGCAAAAAATTTATTACTTTTATCACTTCATTCATTTCTAAAACATTTCCTTTTTCACTTTTTTGTTTCCCCAAAACATTTGCATTTTTGTTAATTTAAGATTTAAACTTTAAACTTTAAATTTAAACATTTCCTTTTTCACTTATTGTTTCCCCAAAAAATTTTGAATTTTAAATATGAAATTTTCAAAATTCTAAATTTTAAACTTTAAATTTTAAATTTTAAATTTCAAATCTTAAATTTTAATATTTAAATTTTAAATTTTAATTTTTACGTTCTATGTTTTAATTTATAAATTATAAATTTTAAATTTCAAATTATTAAATTTCAAATTTTAAAAATTTAAATTCAAAACTGAAAAGTCGAAAAAAGGAGTATGCAGTGGACAGATGTTGGGGGGACGTGTGTGGAGATGAAGTGGGAAGAAAATGAAATTTTCCCTTGATTTTTAACGTAAATTATTTTCCCCCAATTGAAGGAAAGTATTTTCTTATTTTCTTTCCACTAATATCACTAAACACGAACAAATAAAATCTAATTTTTCTGAAAAGTATTTTACTCTCAACAAAACACACCAACCTAGATGGTGTCATGATATGATGCCATTACTTATCTAACTATTTTTCTCGGAATGAGAAAGTATATTCCTATAGATTCAAAAAATATAACCACTTACGAGTATGTGTCAAAAGGAATATGCCTTAGTAGTGGGAGCCTAATAAACTCTAATAGCCCCGTTTGGTGATTATCACTTCCCAAATGCCCCCCCCCCCCCCCCCCCCCCCCCCCCCCCTCACTCTAGGGAATGGGAAAATTACTTGTATAATACTAAAACAATACCCCTTTCTTTTTATAGCACTAGTGTTAGGAAGTCAAATGTTTTAATGGCGCAGGGGTATGGAAAAGACTATAATGACCTTCACTTTTTTTTGTAGATCTAAACAACCGCGCAGCCGCTTTCCATTCAATTCGTTCGGATTACTAAAATCACGGCATTTCCTTCGAAGGTCTCTTCTTGTAGAAGGTAATTCGCCTTGAATTTTGGGATGAAATAGGATGCGGATGTCAAGTGCGTTTTTAAACCCTAAATTGAGTAAACGCAGGGGGGGGGGAGAATTGAGAAACAGAGACAAAAAAGTAGGAGGGGTTCCGACGACGAAGACAGTGAGAAGTGATAGTGAGTCGCCGATTGTGATGTCGGCGAGGAAGACGACTATGGCTACTGGAGTTGCTATTGACGACAGCACCGAGATTGTTGGCGAAGAGGGCAGTGAAATTACTGTAAAATGCGTTTCTGGGAAGGTTAGTTTATTCTGTCTATGACATTTTTTTGGACATTATTCATAAAGGTGAAGTTTTTGTTAGTGTTTAAGAAGGAAAACAATGTATTATAGTGGTGTAGTGTGTTGCATGTTTTGGGTTTTTTTCCTGAATGATAGGTAGTAGACAGTGTAGAGGATTTTGGGATTATGAGGGTGTTGTTCTTTGGATGTGCATATTATTAAAGATTAAACCTGATTGAGTGTTTTTGAGGGAATTAAAAGCAAATTCAGAAGAAAGTTAGTGTAGTGTTTCCTTAGGGTGAGTATACTGTTTCTTAATGGTGTTCCATAATGGTCACTGGAATGTGCTATGTCCATGTCAGTTGGTCAATGTGATTTGTTATTGTTCAGTATATTATGTAATGGTTAGTATGAAGACTAAGGGTAATTTGGTGTCAGAGTTAAAACAGTCCAGTGTTCTTGGTTTTAGAGGACAGTGGTGTTTTTATGTGCATGGTATTAAAAGAAAAGGAACATAAAGGGGTTTTGAAGGGGTTAAAAACCAATAGACTACCAAGTATGTGTATTGTTTCTTAGGGCAAGTGTAGTGTGAAAATGAGTTTATTTTGATCTGGTCCGTATAGTGTTTGTTCTATAATGGTCACTATAAAATGCTATCTCGATGTTGTTTGCAATAACAATTGGGTTTTTAATGACTAGAGTAAATCAGTGCAGTGTGTTGAATATATTGTCAGTGTTTATTAATTCCAAAGTTGTTTTCAGCAGGGCAGTGTTTTGGGAATTAGGGAGGCAGTTTTAGGTGAATGTGCATCGTATTATAGAATGTGCTAACTGCTCTAAATGAATGAACTTTGGTGAATTGTGTTTAGTGTATTCGTATAAGATTATGTCTGTGTTTTAAGTGTGTTGTGACATGGGAGATTATGTATATTTTTTTTAGGAATTCGAAGGTTGTGCAGAGAAGACATCTTGGCTTCCAAGACAAACGTCAAAGCTAATTGTTATTGCAATGTGTTGAGTGGGGTCGAGAAGCTACGGCGAACATTGTCACAATCCGAGTTGGAGGCTTTTGGAAACACGCCCTTCGGTCATTTGCTTGATGTTGACAATCTTAGATGGGTTAATGGACAACTCCTAATACTCTTAGCGTTGAACTACGTTGAACCTATGGAGCCAGATAGCGATGCAATATCTTTCCACATCCGTGATAGGGTGGTCAGTTTTAAGAAAACTGATTTTGCTCTGATTACGGGTTTCAAATTTGGATGTCCAACTGAACAAGAGAGGGAGTACACTGGCACTTCAGATATCCGTAAGAGATATTTTGGGGGTAGAAGTGTTGTGACTCGTGATGAAGTGTGGTTGGTCTTAGAGGGTCTACGGGACAACAAGAGAAAAAGAGAGATGGATGGCGTGAAAATAGGAGTTCTTTACCTTCTGGGCAGCCACATAGTTGGAAACCAACCCTCCATGAAATTGCCACCACTTTATTTGCATTTGGTAGATGACTTGTCCCGTGTGAACGCGTATCCCTGGGGCGATGAGATCTGGGACCTTTTGGTTGAAGACATGGCAAAGTGTTCTTTGACTTTGAGGACAAGTAAAAAGGACTGATTCACATTCCCAGGATTTTTAATGGCCTTGCAGATTTGGGCATTTGAGACATTCCCAGGGCTAGAGAAAAGGGAAGTGTGTGAGATGATAGAGAGTCGGAGAGGCCAATGGCCGCGTGCTTTACGATGGGCAGCACCAACACTGACAAATCACATAGTGTTGGAGGAAGTGATCTTCAGTAATGATAATGTATGTGCTTGTTTTTTCATTGTTTGAGTCCTTTTTTTTGTGTTTTAAAGTTATTCTGGAATAGTACTTGGACAGTAATCATTTTTTGTGTTTTTTATACAGTTTGAATGGATTGGCATGAAGGCAACTGCCTTGGAGATTGGGAAAGAGAATGTTAAGTGTCTCTTTTTAAATACCCCAATGATTGAAGCAGATGGAAGCCTTAAGGTAGTGCAAGTGTGTGATCAAGGAGCCAATGCCAGGAGTCTCGAAGGCCCGCCCAGTAATGAGCATTGTGGGCAAGAAGAGGGGGGATCCTAACGGAAGGAAAGAATACATTTCATTGAGGAGTTGGTTGTGATAATGGAGGAGAAGCCCGGAGTACTAAGCATGTTGGTAAGAAGCATAAACCCAACGTAAGGAACCCGAGTCAAGGCAAGAAAGGGAAAAAGAGGAAAGGTGGCAATAAAGGTGATGACAAGGCAAGGAAAGGGGTTAATGAAGAGTTGTTGGAGAAAGTCACAAAATTGTAGGAGATGGTTGCTGGTCTGGTGGCAGCAAATGTGTTGGATCGCAAATTGCTTGTGAGCTTGCGTGGGAAAGTGAGGGGAATGCAAAGAGCACATGAGAGACATGCAGTTCTGGTGGCGAAATGCTTGAAGAAGTGTGGTTTAATACGTAGGAGGAAGGAAGTAAAAAGAGCAGACAACATGCTGAAGATGGTCCTAGCTTTGACCTAGGCATTGATCATGGAGGTGATGAGGGTTCAATGGCAGATCAAGAAGAAGGTAGTGAAGACAATGTAAATTTAGGTGCATCTGATTATGAGATAGAAAACCCTACCCAACTTAATGACTTGGATGACACGATTAATTCTGTTGATACACAAATTCTTTTGGAACGTCGTGCTGTCATGGTACGCAATATTGTGCGTGAAAATCGGGGGGGGGGGGGGGG